TCAAACCGTAGTAGCTTTTTGGAGCTGGTAAATACCACGAGCGAATAGTCTCGATCCCTCATCAACCTGCTTCGTGCATACGCATATCTATATATATGGGTGTGCGTATACATGTATATATATATATATATATATATATATATATATATATAATATATATATATATCCGTCAGGGTTTCGCCCCTTGCCGCTGTCCCCACTATCAGAGTGGGATATATCTGGATCGTACCAGTGCGCCTCGGCGCTGGCGTGGCGCATCTGGGAAAATCGTGCGGGGGCGGGTACGAGTCATCAGCGCATGTTGAGACGTCAGCGTTATCCGAATGGCCTTCGGCCCATCCCGCCACAGTGTCTGGCTTGTGGGCCCGAAGTTTCTTGTACATGTGTTGGGGTGTCGTGCGGAGCCTGTGGGAGGTCTCTTGGAGGCGGTTTCGGCGCCTTGTCGGGGCCTCGTGGGGCCTCGTGGGGTATGTTTTGGGCCTCTTGGAGGCCTCTTTGGCGCGTCTTGGGCGCCTCTTGGGGCCTTTTAGGATTTCCTGCTTGTTTTTTCGGGGTTTCTCGGGACGTTCCTTGGGGCCCTTTTCGGACTGTCTCGGGGCCTTCTTCGAGGCGTATTGGGTTGTCCTGTGGGCGGCCTTGGGAGCTTTTGAGCCATCTTGGGGCGTCGGAAGGCCGAACATGTGAGAACCACTAAACTCCTTCAAACACTTTTTTGTTAAATTGACGGTGCTGGCCTCTTGGGGCTCTCTCGGTGTGCCTTTTGGAATGTTTGTGGGTTTTTTGGGGACCCTTTTTCGGGCCGTCTTGGAACCATCCTTGGGCGCTTCGGATCACTCTTGGCCTTTGCAAGTCGAATGCGGCGTGATTCGCGGTTGTGGACGAGCACGTGGACGCGAATATTCAATACTGTACAAGGGATTGTTGCTTCGGGGACGCAAGAATTGAGCAACTTGCTTTGGTTTGTAGCCTCGGGGACGGGAATAGTGCATACGTTACATGAGGCTCTGGCTTCGGAAACGCGACTATTCAGCAATTTGCAAGGGTTTGTGGCCTCGGGGGCGCGAGTATTCATTAATTCGCGGCAGATTCTGGCTTCGGGGACGCGATCATTTTGCAATTTACCCGGATTCGTTGCCTCGGGGACGCAAGCCCGCTAGCGACCTCAAGGGCGCGGATATCGTGTAATTCATGATGGTAGGTCGTTTTCTTGAGGACGCAAGAATTTCAGATTCTGCAAAAGGGCATTGGCCTCGGGGACGCGAGCATTGTATACTTTAATAGAGACTGTGGCCTCGGGGGCGCAACTGTGCAGTAATTTACATGGGATCGTGGCACCGTCGGCGCGAGCTTAGCGTAATTTAACAGAGATCGTGGCCTCGGGGGCGCGAATATGGCGTAGTTTAATATGGATCGTGGCTTCGGGGACGCGAGCGTGGCGCAATGTTCAAGGATCGTGGCCTCGGGGACGCGAACACAGCGTAAGTTACGAGGCATTCGTACGTCGGGAGAGCGAATCTCAAGAATTCTTACGTGCCCCACGGCCCCGTAGGAATTCAAAACACCCCACTCGGGGGTGGTACCTGGACGGTTTGGGGCTCCCCCCCCGCGCGCGCTCTTCGACACTTTACGATAAGAAGCAGAAAGCAAGAGTGTAACATTGGAGGCTGCAACTGGCGCAGGGAGCAGAAAACCCGATCCTCGCAACCTGATGGCCCCACGAAGGGGGCCGGCGGATGTTTACATGTGTTCGGTGTGTGGGGACCTCGGTGGTTCCAGTGGTTTGCTGCAGACAGGGGGGAAGAGGAACGAATGGGAGAGGAGCAGGAGGAGCAGGAGGAGTGGAGGGGGAACGGGAAGACACGGTTTAAGTCGGTCCTGTCCCTGTACAGGAGGAATTTTCAAAAATAGTAAAACAAATCATCCGGGGAATCGTTTCTTTTTTTGTTTTAAAAATATGTTTTGAGTATATTGTTTGTGAGTACTTCTCATTTTTCGCCCCAAATCCCCCCTGGAGGGGGACGGGCCCGACCGAAGACACGGTGATGGGGACAGGAGGAGTGAAGCGGGGGGGCAGGCGGGATGCGGAGGACAAGCGGGCGCCCATGGATCGGCGATTGCGATCCATGGGCGCCCGCTTGTCCAGGAGCACCTCCCCCGATTCATGGATTTCGCGACCGCGCGCCAAACCCATGAATCGCTAACCCATGCTTGCGCGCCCCCTAGCGAAGCGGGGGGGGGGGGGAGCAGGCGGGATGGGGAGGACACCCCCCCCCCAACGTTGCCCGTCATGGGCGCGGCCTTTTCCCAGACGGGGGTGGGGGCGCCCCGTTGTTAAAGGAGGAGAAACCACCCGGACCCGACAATTGGCGTTTACGAAAAGGCTTTGGGCGTTTACTAAGCAGCCCTGCCCTGCTTGATTCCTTCAATGGGTACGTGTACTAAACGGCTTTGCGTGCTGGCGTGGTTATTATCGGGTGGATGTTCTGCCCTCTACGTTGGGGAAAAGCTGCCGCGTTCGGGGCGCTGGAGGAAGAGCTCCCTTGCTGCCCAGCAGGCCGGGAGAGGCAGCAGCTCTCGGAGCCGAAGGTGGAGAGAGAGAGAGTGTGTGTGTGTGTGTGTCTGTGTGTGGGTGAAAGAGAGCTGGATAGAGAGAGAGAGAGAGAGAGAGATGGAGAGGGCGAGGGAGAGGGAGAGGGAGAGGGAGATAGGGCTAGAGAGAGGGAGAGATCCAGAGAGGGAGGGCGAGATAGGGAGAGAAATAACGCGAGATGGAGGGAGGGAGGGAGGGAGGGAGGGAGGGATATATATATATATATATATACACACACATATAGGGACAGAGAAAGAGGAGAGGATGAGAGCAGACCGACAACAAACACACACAGACACAGCTAGGGGGGGCCGAGGAAACGCAAACATGGAGCAAGGCGCGTGGATTAGCGACGGGTCCTGTTCCGATGCGCTCCGTCGCCGAGTCAGGCTGCATTGGCCTCCTGTTTCGAGGGGGGCGAGGGGGCGCCCACGCGCCAGATCCACGGACCCGTTCTTCATGTCGGCGCGTGCTGGATAAAGGGAAGAGAGGGACAGGGGGGAAGAGGTAGAGAGAGAGAGAGGTAGAGAGGGAGAGGATAAAGGGACGAGGTAAGAAGAGAGAAAGAGAGGGAGAGAGGTAGAGAGAGGAAGGGAAGAGGATGAAGGGAAGAGGTAGAGAGAGAGAGAGAGACAGGGACAGGCATAGACAGAGAAAGAGCGACAGACGGACAGGCACTTAGTTAGTGGGCCCCGGAAACGATAGGGCCACTTTGTTTTCCCCCCTTTCCAAAAACGTGTCTTGAAGAAACGGCAAAAAAAAACGACTGGAAACGGCAACACAAACGGCTCCAGGATTGGAAGCGGAGCCGGAACCGGTAACAAGAATTGCGCCTGCACCGGTACCAAGAACGGAGCCTGCAACAGAAACGGCGAAACGGCATAGCGGAGCCGGTCAAAAAAGGGCCTTGTCGTTTCCAGGGCCAACCTCAGGACAGGCAGGCATACGGGCAGACAGACGGCGCAAATGACAGAGCATTGTCCTGATCCGCCCGACTCGTCGTGTTTGTAGAGCTCTGGCCAGAGGGCCCTACGCGGTGGGTGGTGCAGTTTGCCATGAAGAGATCGGGTTGACCCAAAATGGGGTCCAGCGACAAGGGGGGTGGTGCAATAGACTTGGTGCAGTATATTTGCGGGGTCGCAGTGCACATCGGGGCGTGCAATACATGTGGGGGCGCAGATGTATTGCTGCATCTTCGCGTGCAGTGCATTACTCGCCAGGCAAAGCGACGCAGCTCTCCGGCGCAGCACGTCTGCAATACCACTGCCCCAAAATCTATTGCACCACCCTGGACGGCTCACGATGCGGTCGGGCTCTCGCGTGGAGTTCACTGCTGTGGACGTGCCTCCGAGAGCCCCCCTGGGGCCTCCCGCGGCCGCTGGGTGCCCCCGAGAGCCCCGAACACCACAACTTGAACCGTTCAACTGGTTCGGGGCGGTTGAAAAAAGATCTGTTGCACCACCCCCTTTCAGCTGGACCCCCTTTTGTCGGGGGAGCGTAAGACCCGGGTTTGCCAGGACTCGGGTTTGCCATCGTTTTTTGACGACCGCGCCTCGGATTTTGACGAGGAGGAGTTTCGTGGGATGTCTGCAGCGGGAGGCCTCGTCAAAATGCAGGCTCGGCCTCGTCATTTTTTTGACGATCTCGTCGGGGATTTCCGAGTCCCCTGTACCCAGGTCTTACGTCCCCCTGAAACTAGTTAGGGGCGGTTGAAAAAAGATCTGTTGCACCACCCCCTTTCAGCTGGACCCCCTTTTGGGTCACCCAAAAGAGATCGGGTCCTGTTCCTGAGGGGAGGCGGATCCGGATGCCTTCCGGCGCGCTCGAGCTCCCAGGGCAGTCCACGGGGAGCGTCAGGGGCCGTCAGGGAGCGACCCAGGACCCCAAAGCTGGGCCCCAGAGAAGGCCCCAGGGCCAAGGGTTGGTCCCAGGGTTAAGCCGGGCATGCCCCTCTACAGGAGGAATGTTCCGAAACAGGCAAAAACTAGTTTTGGGACGATTTTTCAAAGATTTATGATGGTTTTTGGGTATTGTTTGTCTAGTTTTCATGTTTCGTCCAAAGTTCGCCTGTAGGGGGGCACGCACGACCTAAGCCCAGGGGAAGGACCCGTTTTCCTCAGGACCTGCTTCCTTTTTTCGAAGCAGTGGCGAAGCGCCCTGGCTCGCCTATAGGCCCACCAAAGCATGTTCTAAGAATGTTTTGTGGTTTGCATGAGATGCTCGCAGAACATTTCTTGCCGAGTCTGTCTTGTTTTAGCTCATCGGCTTCATGTTCTATGAGCAGTGTTTTTGTGCTTAGAATTTCTTTGGGTTCTTAGAAGATTTCGTGGTAGGCCTATAGCAATGCCGGGACGGTTGGTCCCTGCTCAATCTTCCCAAGTAATAAGGGTGCCGTTTAGACGCGCTTGAGGTTGAGTTTGCCGCACGACACATCGTGATCGACAACCAGCAGATCAAGCTGCACATATGGGACACGGCTGGACTTGAGTCCATCGGGAGTGTCCCTCCCTCATCATGTGGTTTTCCCTCCCTACTTCATCTCTCGACTTCGTCCTTCTCCACTTCATCCTTGTGTTGAAATCGCGCGGGGGTCACAAACCAGAGGCGGACGCGAGTTGACAGCAACATATGTGGGGCGCCGTTTGCAGAATTGCTTGGAGGAGGGAAGACGGTGGAGGGATATCCGACCGCGGGCGATAATAAAGTACCCCCCCCCTTTCCCCTCCGATTTTTTTGTTTACCTCCGGCCAATAGGATTTAATTGTGGAGGAAGGCGCGGAGGCTGAATTTTTAAATCCACGGGAAAGTTGCGGGGATCGAAGTTGCTATCGTAAACGTTGAGCATGGCCATGGTGGTCTCACCACACCAGCTTCCGCAATCACGAGCGTGTGGCAGGGCTGTGGGATTCTCACCAGTTCAGTTTGCCCACGTTACGAACGTGCGGCAGGGCCATGGGATTATCATTTTCTTAGCCGTTCCCGAGTCAGGAACGTGTGGCAGGGCCATAGGGACCGATGCGATTTTGATTGTGCATGTCAGCCTTGCGTCGCGCGCCTGGTTTGTCACGAGCCTCGAGATCTCTCGAGTGAGTCTTGTTCCGTCATCACCATCATCATCATCATCATCATCATCATCAATTGCACTCCCCAGGAACATCTTTTATGATCCCCGCCAGAACCACGAACTTTATTATCCCAGGGGGCTTATTATCGCCCGCGCTCGGTTACTGATTGCTCTTCACCCAACTTACTTCTTGCCAGTGCAGCATGCTCTTTGCGCGCATTCTGCCGGGGTGCCGGGCCATCATGAGTCATGAGCTCCGAGCCAGGGCACGCGTGCCGCTCGCTGTGATCGGTCGTGTGGCAGTTGGCGCCCCCGCTGTCCCGCGGCACGCTCGACTCCGCAATCGCTGCCTGCGGGGGCGCTCTCGCCCCCAGGAGGGGCCCGATTCCTGAGGTGCGTGCTTGGGCAGAGCTGAGTCTGCGATGTATCGTCATATGCGCGCGGGGCCGTCGGCCGGGGGCAGGTCCTTCCGTGCGCTCACCCGGTCTTATCCGCGGCTCTCTCGAGGCACGCCGCCGCCGTCTTTTGCCCCATCGGCAGCCGCGGAGAGCCCCCCGCGAATCCCACGAGGATTTTTTGGGCAGGCAGGGAGAGGTGCAGGAGGAGGGTTCCGACGACGGGCCGCTCCATGGTTCTGAGGGGATTCTCTCGCCAGGCGCCCAGATCTTGGGGCCCTTCCCCCACCTCCTCCTCCTCCTCCTCCTCCTCCTCCTCCTCCACCTCCCTCCTCCTCCTCCTCCTCCTCCTCCACCTCCTCCTCCTCCTCCTCCTCTCCCTCCTCCTCCTCCTCCTCCTCCTCCTCCTCCTCCTCCTCCTCCCCTCCCCTGGCGCCAGCTCGGACCCTCGCGGGGATTCTCTCGCCAGGAGCCCAGATCTGGGGGTCCTACCCGAGATCGGTGGAGGGAGAGTTGCGTCAGCTTCCAATGGGGCTCATCTGAGATTACTCCGAGGCTGCTCCGAAGTCCCGTTGTCGATGCTCGTGCATGCTGCATGCCCTTGCTTAAGGAACCGCCACGTCGTCCCTCGCGGCTGGTGGATATGGCTAGCGCGTGTGATGTTGTATCGGGGGCGTCGCGGAATCCACCTGCGATATTCCTCCGTGGGTTCTCCCAGATGGTCTTCTGAAAGAGTCTATGTGTGCATTGGGATCGGCAAAGGAATTGTTTGTCTCCACGCGAACCCGCGTCCTCCAAGATTCCACCGGGATTCCTTTGACGCTCCGTTGCAGACTTGAGACAGTTCGTATTGCAGGAGTTTGGGTAATCTGTAGATCCACACTGTGAAGTTTAAGCTGGCATGTGGGATAAGTTGCTTACGGAGTCGTGCCATGCTACCGCTTGACGGCTGCGTTCTCGGGCAAAATTGAAGTTGCAAGCGTGACAGCGACGTAGTCGGAGCAGGTGCCGACCTCCGAGGTTTGCCTGGTGGTCTACGAATCCTTGCAGTGATATGAGCACACGTCATGCGCTCGCGGGCGATTGCTCGTTCGCATCAGCACATCCATAACCAAGTGTCAGGCTTAAACCGCATGGGGTCGGCCCAGCGGCTCCCAAGCACACAGGTCTTCGCGCCCAGGTCCAGAACTCAGGGAAAGGGCGAACAAATCTTCGAAGGCCCAAACTCTTCTGCGAGGCTGACGAAGATCAACCATGACTGTGTTAACCCATGGCGCAGCCTGCCTTTGCCATGGTAGCACGTAGGCGCCCACTCAGAGCCTTGGGGCTATATCGATGGAGCCTTGCAAGATACTGAGGGGGGAGGCATGTTTAGGAGGACGCCCACATCACATCGGTATGCAGCGGCCCGCACCTCCTGGTGTTCATCGGCAGACTCGTTGTAAACACGCCGGTGTACTGCAGGTTGATCAATCTGCGAAGCCCAGGACATCTTTGCCAAGCTGCGACGTTGCCTTCTTTGGCCACGTCGCTTTATAGCGGAGGTGGCCCAACAGGATCACCACATCCGCCAGTTACATCTTGTGCCCCGTGGAGAGCTGCGGGTTCGAGAACACAGCCTGGTGGAGGGCCCGGCTGAACGAAGCCGTGGAAGAGACCCAAGAGGCTAACTCTGGCGCCATACCTTGCCTGTTGGAAGGCACGCCCCCAAGATGCTTGAAATTGATCACAGTCTGTATGCAAAGTCCTCGGGTAAAGGCGGCATCTGGGAAGTCGATTGTCCCCGTATTCTGCAATGCAGAGTTGTTTGCGGGCGTCAGACTGGTGCAGGAGGAAGAGGAGGAGGAGGAGGGGGAGGAGGAGGAGGAGGAGGAGGAGGAGGAGGAGGAGGAGGAGGAGGAGGAGGAGGAAGAGGACGAGGGTGCAGGCCGCACAAATGTGGCTGGAGTGGATGGGGCCAGAGCATCGCGCCGCATCGTCAATGCATCGGCGAGGCGGCGCGATCCAGGTCCGTATTGTCAAAATCCCAAGTCCCCGACCTTATTTATTCTGGCCCCATTTGGGCGGCCACCAGAGGACAAAAAGGAGGAGGGACGACGACGACGACGACGACGACGACGACAACGAGGTGAGAGATGTGGTGGGTGCCTTCACCCCTGGCAGTGTGGGGTCGGTGGATTACCGTGGCGCCAGCGGGGCCATGCTGGTGTACGACATCACGTCGCGCCCGTCATTTGAGCATATACCCAGCTGGCTGGAGCAGGCTTCGGTGTTTCTGTTCTGTTCTGCACGTCTGGGGATTGGCCACGTTAAACTGCAAGATTGCATGACTTTTACTTGCGGGGCGGTCCGCTGGCAGACGGGACGGGGCACAAGGCGTCTGACAGACTGAGATAATTAGGGTATACGGGAAGAAGGAAAGAGCCCATGCAATGGGGTGTTGGACTCTACTCCTTCTGCACGCGCGAGAGTGCTGAGGCGGTTAGGTACGAGAGTGGAGAGCTGAGGCATCTGCCTCAAAAGAAGGTTCAAAGGAATCCCTTCGAGCCCTTTCACGCACCCTCCGGAGAGTAGGACTGTCGCGTGAGACGTCGCTTTGCTACCTTGCGGCAGACAGGCGTGAGCTGGGCCTCAGCACGGAGCGTGCGAAGCAGGGGCGTGTCTTCCCATCGGTCTCGGCTGCAAGGGGTCTCTGCCAAAGCACAAGTACACATGCCCGGGTTATCTCTCGCTCCTCCTCGCTCTCCTCTGGGCCCTGTTTGCTTGCGTCATCTCGGGGGTTGCTCAGTGGCGTTGCGCTGCGACCGATCGAACAAGTCGGCCCTACGCAGAGCTCGGGTGAGAAAGAGACGTGCCCGCAGAATTGCACGTCGGCAAAACAACGACACCGCGACCAGCCTCTCGCATGATGTGGACGGCTGTTGCTCACATTCGCACATGCAATAGGGGACCATTCGTGCGCCAGTTTAGGCAGCGACGGAGCTTTGTGGGACATCAGTGATCGTTTTCGTATTCATTGTGATGCCGATCGGCGCGGGCCCTCGCACTCCCCCTCCAACCCCCCATGTAGCCCACATGCAGTAGATCTTGGCTGTTTTTGGCGCTTGTTTTCAAGCGGGTGGGGTCTCCCTAACATCACGCACTGATGCAACCGGTTGCACTAAGCAGAGGTCCGGAGCCAGACCCCCCTTCCTCTCCCGCCCCCCTTCCGCCCAGTGTCGAAACGTCGAATCTGAAGACGCTCATCACCGGGTGGAACGACGGAGCGAGGTGCTCAATGGACGGTGGGGTTGCAGGTGGCTGCCAAGGTGGGTTCTCTAGTTCAAGGGAGGAAAAACCACCCGGACTGGGCAATTGGCGTTTACTGAACGGCCCTGGGCGTTTATTATACAGCCCTGCCCTGTGTGATTTCTTCTTTGAGCGCGTTTACTAAACGGCTTCGCGTGTCGGGGTGGTTATTATCGGGGTGGGTTTTCTGCCCTCTATTAGTGGCCTTCGGCGCATCCCCTCGCCATGCCTGGGTGCAGGCCAGCGGCCTTTTTGGGTGCCTGTTGGGATCTCTCTTTCGGAGGCCTCCTCCGACGGTTTTTGGGGGGCCCGTGGCTGGCCTCTCGCGGCCTCTGTTGATCCTCCGTGGGGGCCTCATAGGACCTCTCGCGGAACTGCCAGCGGTCCTGCTGGCAGTCGCGGAGGTCAGCTTGGGGCGGAGGGCTTGGAATGCTATGTCGTGTTCCCTCTCATGGGGCTTCTCTCGGGCCGCCATGGGGGCCGCTTGGGCCGTCTTGGGGCTATCTTGGGCCGTCTTGAAGCTCTCTTCGACCCTTCGGGTTCCGGGGTCCCCTTGGGCCGCCTTGAGATCCTTTTGGGTGTCTTTGAGCGTCGGAAGCCCAGAAGGACGAGAACGCTCAAAGAAATTAGCCTGGCGAAGGACCCAACCATATGCAGTTGTGAGCACCGTCGTTGTATGCACCCATTCGGAGGAGCTCCCAAGAGGGCCACGAAACGTGTGAGGGGTGTGCCAAAATGGGTGGGCGCATGCGATAGCAGTAACTGGTGCGGTCACGAAGTTTGTGAGGGGTGTGCCGAAAGCGGTGCGGTGGGAGCATGCAAACGCAGCCATTGGGGCGGTCGGCCCTATGGTGCCGCGAAACGTGTGAGTGGTGTGCCGACATGGGTGTGCGTGACGCTTGCGGGCGGTGGCACTGGGGCCTTAGGTGGGGCTCTCTGTGGGGCAACGAAACGTGTTAGGGGTGTGCCGAAATGAGGTGACGCATGCTGGCGGTGGCACTGGGGCCTTCGGTGGAGCTCCCTATGGGGCCACGAAACGTGTGAGGGGTGTGCCGACATGGGTGTGCGTGATGCGTGCGGGCGGTGGCAGTGGGACCTTCGGTGGAGCCCCCTATGGGTCCACGAAACGTGTGAGGGGTGTGCCGACATGGGTGTGCGTGACGCATGCGGGCGGTGGCACTGGGGCCTTCGGTGGAGCCCCTCTGTTGGGCCACGAAACGTGTGAGGGGTGTACCGAAATGGATGTGCGTGACGCATGCGGGAACTGTCATTGGGGCGTTCGGTGGAGCTCCTCGTGGGGCCACGAAGCTTGTGAGGGGTGTGCCGAGATGAGTGTACGTGACGCATGCGGGCGGTGGCATTGAGGCCTTCGGTGGAGCTTCCTTTGGGGCCACGAAACGTTTGAGGGGTGTGCCGAAGATGGTGCCGAAATGGGTGTGCGTGACACATGCGGGCGGTGGCACTGGGGCGTTCGTTGGAGCTCCCTGTGGGGCCACGAAACGTGTGAGGGGTGTGCCGACATGGGTGTGCGTGACGCATGCAGGCGGTGGCACTGGGGCCTTCGTTGGAGCTCCTTGTGGGACCACGAAACGTGTGAGGGGTGTGCCGACATGGGTGTGCGTGACGCATGCGGGCGGTGGCACTGGGGCCTTCGGTGGAGCTCCCTGTGGGGCCACGAAACGTGTGAGGGGTGTGCCGAAATGGGCGTGCGTGACGCATGTGGGCGGTGGCACTGGGGCCTTCGGTGGGGCTCCCTGTGGGCCACGACACGTGTGAGGGGTGTGCCGAAATGTGTGTGCGTGACGCATGCGGGCGGTGGCACTGGGGCGTTCGGTGGAGCTCCCTGTGGGGCCACGAAACGTGTGAGGGGTGTGCCGAAATGGGTGTGCGTGACGCATGCGGGCGGTGGCACTGAGGCCTTCGGTGGAGCTCCTCGTGGGTCCACGAAACGTGTGAGGGGTATGCCGACATGGGTGTGCGTGACGCATGTGGGCGGTGGCACTGGGGCCTTCGGTAGAGCTCCCTATGGGGCCACGAAACGTGTGAGGGGTGTGCCGACATGGGTGTGCGTGACGCATGCGGGCGGTGGCACTGAGGCCTTCGGTGGAGCTCCTCGTGGGTCCACGAAACGTGTGAGGGGTATGCCGACATGGGTGTGCGTGACGCATGCGGGCGGTGGCACTGGGGCTTTCGGTGGAGCCCCCGATGGGTCCACGAACCGTGGTGTGCGTGACGCATGCGGGGGGTGTCATTTGGGCCTTCGGTTGAGCTCCCTGTGGGGCCACGAAACGTGTGCGGGGTGTGCCGAAATGGGCGTGCGTGACGCATGCGGGCGGTGGCATCGGGGCCTTCGGTGGAGCTCCCTGTGGGGCCACGAAACGTGTGAGGGGTGGTGTGCGTGACGCATGCGGGCGGTGGCATTGGGGCCTTCGGTGGGGCGTTCTGTGGGGCCACGAAACGTGTGAGGGGTGTGCCGACATGGGTGTGCGTGACGCATGCGGGCGGTGTCATTGGGGCGTTCGGTGGAGCTCCTTGTGGGGCCACGAAACGTCCGAGGGGTGTGCCGAAATGGGTGTGCGTGACGCATGCGGGCGGTGGCACTGGGGCACGACACGTGTTAGGGATGTGCCGAAATGGGTGTGCGTGACGCATGCGGGCGGTGGCACTGGGTCCTTCGGTGGAGCTCCCTGTGGGGCCACGACACGTGTGAGGGGTGTGCCGAAATGGGTGTGCGTGACGCATGCGGGCGGTGGCACTGGGGCCTTCGGTGGGGCTCCCTGTGGGCCACGAAACGTGTGAGGGGTGTGCCGAAATGGGTGTGCGTGACGCATGCGGGCGGTGGCACTGGGGCCTTCGGTGGGGCTCCTTGTGGGGCCACGAAACGTGTGAGGGGTGTGCCGAAATGTGTGTGCGTGACGCATGCGGGCGGTGGCATTGGGACTTTCGGTGGAGCCCCCTGGTTGGGCCACGAAACGTGTGAGGGGGTGTGCCGAAATGGGTGCGTGACGCATGCGGGCGGTGGAGGGGGGGGCGAGGAGGAAGGAGGGAACGCTTGGACCGTCTCGTCAAAACGAGGACCCAACACCACAGGATGGTTGGGAAGCACATTGCGCAAGTGCTGGTTGCTTGGTGGTTCCTTCTCAGGGTAACTCCTCGAGCCCTCTTGGGGAGTCTAGGGGGCTTGTGAGGTCGTCTTGAGGTTCTCTTGGGCGTCTTGGGGCGCTTGTTGGCCGTCTGGCGGCACTGCATGTGGGTTATATCTAGCCTTCTGTTAGCGCACAGGTGGGTTATATGTGACCTGAATGGTTCAGGGGGTGAAGAACCAGGCCAAGTTTGCGCCGCCCACTTAGCGAACTCATCGACCGTTCCAGTTGTTCACTGCATTTGTTTGTAAGCTAGGCTTGGCAAGATACCACCCACCTCAGCATCCACTCATTCGGCAACACATCATGGGAGCCTGAGTTATCCTCTGAATTCCGTTTTTGGCGTCGACTAGTGTCGATGAGCGTCTGGAGTCGATGAGATAGTGCCGATTTAGCACTGCTTAGCGTCGACCAGCGTCGATTTAGCGTCGGGTAGCGTCGATCTAGCATCGATTCACAAGAGCCGACAAGATGGTATGGGAGGTTCCCATGAGCAGCCACCGAACACTCAGCACCCCCTTTCCTTTCTAGCAGGCGGGGATTTGTCCACGTCCACCGCGTGAGGAGCCGATGTCCTGGGACCCCAGTGGGCGGTGGGTGCGGGTATACGCTCGGGCCTCGCTGGCCGAAAAGCACGTCCACGGCCACCGCCCTGGGAACCGACGTCCTGGGACCCCAGGGGGGCGCTGGAGATGGACGTGCTCGGGCCCAGGGGGCCCGAACACGTCCGCGTCCACCACCTGGGGAACGGACCTCCTGGGATCCCAGGGAGCGGTGGGTATGGATGTGTGCTTGGGCCCAGGGGGCCCAAACATGACCACATCCATCATCG